GATTTCAGATTTTGCTCTTTACAACAATTGCACGTTTTTCAAGTACGACATTGGCATACAAGGCATACGAGGCATACAAGGCATACAAGGCATTCAGGGTTTTCATGGCTTTCAAGCGTTCGCGACTCAATCCGTTCCAGAATTACCGCTCAATAACGTCTTTTAGTGTGGATTGGCCGCGAACAATACGATTTGTGTATGCGTCTGTAAGTATTTTTAGCGTTTGCGCCTTAATGCTCCAGGTAATCGTAATCCAAACACGTTGGAATACATAACGACTGACAAAAGAGTTTTATAAGCAAAAATCTCGTTATTCGTCATGTGACCCGGCCCTGTCCGTGCATGATAACGTCAATCATCATCAAGATAACACGCGTGATCAGCATGTGAACACCTCATTGGATCACAGTTAGTTGTCATGGTCTTGAGGGCCCAATGACCACTGGATATTATTGCGCAATTTTTCTATTTTGTGGCGGAGGAAAAAAAATGACGACAAAAAAACAAGGCATTTTATGACTGGGCTACCACAGGTACCCCAGTAAAAATCCCGCGGCGTATTTTAGAGGCGGATCTAGAAACCCCCATTTGGGTAGTACAACGAACCGAATATGGGTGAGGAGCCCTGACGTCTAATGTCCGCTAAGAATTGATGTTAGAGTATCGTCAGAATAGAACATCCCAAAACCTGATCCCAGATACCTAAAATATAGACTTGAACCAGAATAGACAAGGTCCAGTCTATGTCTTTAGGGATTGTACCACGCAGCAAGACCCACTATCGTATTTAAAGCACAGGTTTCTTTTATTTATGCAAGTATATACAAAGCTGGTTATTTATAACTTAACTTCAAACTATTTAATATATCTCTAATTGGGCTCGTATTATTTAATCAATTTTAATTACAAGGAGATAATAACACTTAATATCAATGCTATTCAGTTCCAAAGTATGTAATATCTAATAATCAACAAAGTGCATCGCTCTAGGATATGATACACGGGTAAAGAAAAACTGCTAATATACGAAAATAACATTAATTCATCTGGTTCTTAGGGTGAAACGAAAATTACACTATTGAAATACTTTTGATTTTCAATATGAAATTCTGTTATAACCAATTTCTTGTTATAAGATAACAATGCAGTAGAAGTAATACATTACAATGACTTGCAATGTTTTTTTCTTTCGTAATGTTTGTGTGAGTTTCTCGCTTTTTGATTGCCACCCCGTGAAGTATTTGTCATAAAATAAGTGAATTCTCTATCACATTACGTTTTGTCATTTGAGACTCAAACTTTGAAATGATTAACAATAACATCAACAGATAAATAACTTAAACAAAAGAAACTGCTTTGAACACATCTTCTTACGGAGTTCTTCCCTTACAACCATACCGCACATAATATTACAGCCAAGTTATTCATTCTTGTTAAAGACGTGCGTAGCTGGCTACTTCGAGGAAGTTTTGGAGCAGTGAAACTGCGACATGAGTAGGTGGCACAACCTTTGAGGTTCTGCCGTCATTTTTGGCAGCTCTTCTGCTGATCTGGACGCCTAAAAAGGCTAATTGTTTTTCTGCGTAGACCCTTTTACGTAGTTTCAGACTTTTATCACCTTAAATATTTTTTCTTACATAAATATTTTTAACAACCAAATTTTACTCTATCATCTGGTTCCGCCAAGCTAAAATAAGTTTAATTTCACCAGAGTTTAATTCATTCGGCGAAACAAATAATAAAAATAAAGATGCTGAGCGATTTACCAGTTACAAGCTGTGTCCTGCACAGCATTCAACAAAATTAATCAAGAGTACAAAAATAGGACAGGAACGGGGACCAGCCTAGCTTCCCATTACAAAAGCTATCAAACTAATTAATCATTTTTTTGGGACCAGTTATTCTT